ATCTTCCTCGCAGCTGCTTTGGCTTCTTTTTCGCTCCGTATTTGACGTGTTGATTCGTCTTCGTATGTGGATTCAAGCATCTGCTCGTCTAATGTGGTTAGCGAAACATGTCTCACAATCTTCATTAGCCTCTTCATGTTCCAAGCTGAAATGTTCTTGTGATTCATCCTGTGAAGGTGATCCATGCTGATTCCGGTATCAGTTGCTGTTTTCGGAATGATTGGGGAGAGCTTCGGATTCATCACTCTCCCGCTCTTTCCCGGTGGAAACGCAGCCGCGCAAAGATCCGGCGGTAAATTAGCACCTGCGTTCTGCATCTTAAAGATCTCTTCTTGTGCCCTCTCTTCCTCTTCTTCAATCCTACTCATTTCAATCATGGGAGGACCTGACAACGTCTCGATCACATACTGGTTAAACAGGGCTTCCTGAATCCGATCAAAGTAGGTACTAACGTGGAACGAAGAAGCTAAAACTTTAACCACTAGAGTCTTGATCAACCAGAAGATTGTGCTCAGCAAGAAACATACCAAGATCTTGGTTACGTAAGGAAGAAACCTGCTCTTTGTCTCCCGTTGTACTTTCTTGTCGAACAAGAAATGCCAAGCGAGAAGAACCAACCCGAGCCAGAGACAGTTCTGAACAGCTCTTCGCACACCGTATACAAAGTAAAGAACCCGCTTTCTCAAAAGGAAGTTTCGCTCGATGAAGAAGACGACGATTCGGATTCCCCAACCAGAAACCAACCTCCCACATATAAGAACAAGCAAGAACACTTCCCATTTCCATAAATGAAGGTTCCAAACTCTCACTTTTTTCCAGGACCGAATCGATAAACTACAAGCTAATGCAGCTATTATAGCGATTAAACTCAACCACTCGAGCAATGTTATGACGTCAAATTTACCTCTTTTATACTCATCTGGTACATCTTCCTCTAATGGATCATCCTCTTCCTCAATATCCCCAAGTATCCCCGATTTCAACTGACCCGATCTCCAACCAGAATAAGGCGTTTCCTCCTCTCGTGGCGGATCTTGCAGCCTTGATCTTGTCTTCACTCTTGATATAAGCTCTGATTTCCTCTGAAACGACATGTTCGATGTGCATCTCACAACCTCGTCTTCCTGCTGCGTCGGCTCCTGATTTGTCCGCATTGTCGCG